GACTGACTAATTTTGCTCAGCATAATGCCCTCCAGATTCATCTGTGTTGTGAGATGTTTCACAGATTCAACATTGTTCTTTATTGTTGCATAGTATTCCACTGTATGAATATATCATAATTTGTTTATCCATTCATCCATTGATGGGCACCTAGGTTGTTTCCATCTTTTTGCTATTGTGAACAATGATGCAGTGAACGTGGGTGTGCATGTGTCTATTTGTGGAGTCACACAAAATTTGAGAATAATCTCCATGCTCCCACTGCCCCAATCTTATATTTCTATTGAAATAAAATTCTTTATTAGAGTAACAACACATTTAGAGCAAGATCTAAAGAAATATAACATCTGAGTAAATTTAGGTGCCTTGCTATCCATCTACCCATCCATCCATCTGTCCATCTATCCATTCATTCCCCATCCCATCCATCAGCCCATCCATCTATCCATATAACTAGACATTGTGTTAAGTACTGCAATACAGAGATAAATAAGAAATAACCCTTGCTCTAAAGCTATTCATAGTCTGTCTCGTCAGAGTGCTGAGAGTGCAAACAATGGACAGGTAGGGAGATATGGCAGTGGCATCTCTGCAAAGCCAAACATTTGATATGATAAATGCTTGCCCTTCTTCCTTGTAGGTGAAGTATAACTAAGTGCCAAAGTACTTTTGTAACTGACTAAACAACCACACCCACCCTGCCCAGAAGACAAAATGCTGCTGCAGGCCCCTATGAAGACAACGAGAGTGTGACGGCTCTTTCAGAAATGGCAAAAACCAGATCACAGCTCTACTTGTTTCTTCACAAAGAGGAAACAGAGGAAAAGAAATAAATTTAAGCATAAAATATCTATATTTTAAAAGCAGTTCTGCTCATGACTTAAATATCCTGTCCTGCTCCTCACACTAGTACATATTCTCAGGGTCACCTTCACAGCTTAATTTTAAGAAGACAGCAAGAAGAATTCAACTCTGATCTGAATATGAATTTAGGTCGCAAGGAGTTTGGTGATGACATTTCTATATCATTTTCTGTATTTCAAAGGACCTTGTCTTTCTGATTAAGGCTGAATCCAGTTGACTAAGGTGTATTAAGATAACTGGAGGCAATATTTTACAGAAATGATTTCCCACTTCTATAGAGCCACATCAAAGTAGCAGAGATTTTTTATTATTGCTAAAGCGGTATTTTTTAACATCTCTGGTAAAACTAATTTCATACTTGGTGTTCTGTGGTTTTTCCAACTAACTCAGGGCAATCATACTTTTCTGAAATCTATCCTGGAGGCAAATTTACTTGAGAGTCATTAAAAAATTATAGGAGGCATTTTATAAGACTGTTTGTTTCAGGCGGTCAGAACTACAAATCAAATTTGAGGATTAGGTCGAGAGGCTTTATTTAGCACGGTAGCAAACTTGTCCAAATCAGCCACTATTTAAAAATTATGGAAAACAACAGCTACACATCCATGAAATGCTGGATAGTCATGTTGAAACAAGGACCTCATTCAAGAGTAACTAGACTTTCATGCAAAAGGACAAATACTGTATGAGATCACTATTATAAGAACTCAAGAAATGGTTTAAACACGGAAGAAAACATTCTTTGATGGTTATAAGGGTGGGGAGGGAGGGAGAAGGGAATTCACTAACTAGATAGTAAATAAGAATTATCTTAGGTGAAGAGAAGGACAATACACAATACAGGGGAAGTCAGCACAATTGGACTAAACCAAAAGCTAAGAAGGTTCCTGAATACAACCAAACCCTTCGAGGGACAGAGTAGCAGGGGCAGGGATCTGGGGACCATAGTTTCAGGGGACATCGAGGTCAACTGGCATAACAAAGTTTATTACGAAAATGTTCTGCATCCCACTTTTGTGAGTGGCGTCTGGGGTCTTAAAAGCTAGTGAGCAGCCATCTAAGATGCATCAATTGGTCCCAACCCACCTGGAGCAAAGGAGAATGAAGAACACCAAAGACACAAGGAAACTATTAGCCCAAGAGACAGAAAGGGCCACATAAACCAGAGACTCCATCAGCCTGAGACCAGAAGAACTAGATAGCGCCTGGCTACCACCAATGACTGCCATGACAGGGAACACAACAGAGAGTCCCTGACAGAGCAGGAGAAAAGTGGGGTGCAGAACTCAAATTCATGTAAAAAGACCACACTTAATGGTCTGACTGAGACTGGAGGGACCCTGGAAGACATGGCTCCTGGACTCTCTGTTAACCCAGAACTGAAACCATTCCCAAAGCCAACTCTTCAAAGATTAGACTAGACTATAAAACATAAAATAATACTTGGGAAGAGTGTGCTTCTTAGTTCAAGTAGATACATGAGACTAAATGCGCAGCTTCTGTCTGGAGGTGAGATGAGAAGCGGAAAAGGGACAGCGGCTGGTTGAATGGACACGGGAAATCTGAGGTGGAAAGGAGGAGAGTTCTGTCACTTTATAGGGAGAGCAGCTAGGGTCACATAGCAACGTGTGTATAAATTTTTGTATGAGAAATTGACTTGAACTGTAAACTTTCACTTAAAGCACAATAAAAAAAAGAATAACTAGCCCTTCAGCTGACGAAGGTGAAAGATGAACTACCTCCACCTTGGAATTCTTTACTCACTCCAACAGCATATGGGGCTAGTGTTCTTCCCCCTCCCTCCCAGAGGCACCCAACTGAAGTGTCAAATGTTTACTGAGTCCCTGCTGTGTGCCCAACACTGTGTGAGGTAGCATGGGGGGAAAACAGTACCTACATGGGCCCTACCCTTATCCCTCTACCTAAATAGAGAGTCAAGCCCTAGGCCAGTGTTTCTCAACAAACTGTGCATCAGAATCCCTAGGTTGTGAGCTCAAAATGCAGATTCTTAGGTTCCACTCCCAAACCACCTAATTAAACTCTCTGAGGGTGGGCCCTGGGAATAAGCTTTTAAAAAGAAAATATTTTAGGTGATTTTTTTATCACCTAAATGTTCTCAACATATGGTCTCCAGAACAGTAGCATCAAGATCTCCTGAGAATTTGTTTAAAAATGCAGATTCTCGGTCTGCACCCTAGCCCTACTGAAGCAGAAATTCTGAGGGTGGCACCCAGTAATCTGTGTTTTAACAAGGCCTCCAAGAGACTCTGATGCATGCTAAAATTTGAGAAGGACTATCTCAAACACACAGGTAGCCTCAATATAAGAACAATGTAAAATAGTAAATTATCAAGCACTAGCATTTGAGGTACAGGCTATAAGCCACAGTGATTCTCTCGGTCTGTGACAGCAGGCCCTTGAGGAGAATAACTTCCAGGATAAGAGCAGTCAGGGCCCCTGATGGGCCTGACACTCTTTAGAAAGGATATAGCTCAACATGACTACATTCACAAAGCATCTGATGTCTTTGTAATGGTAACTGTTTTCTTCACCATAGTGATGTCACCCAGAAAAAGGTGATGTTGGCATTTGACCGTGAAGTGGCCTTCCTGCATGAGGGCCTTAGCTCCCTATCCTCTACAAAAACAACAAACAATTGCTCAGTGCGCTATTGTATACTATTGAGCCCTGACACCTGGGAGCTGGTACATATAGAGAGGAGCCTCATGTAAACGGACGGCCCTGCAATTAACTAAGGAAAGGAGTTTGTTTTCTAGAATGTTCCAGCTGAAATGAACCTCATAATCTTCCCAGAGCTCTATGTACGAGAAATATCTCCATGAAGTAGAATTATACACTGACCTTTAGGTTTTCATCTAGCCACTGCTCCATTAAAAATGTCAATCTCATTAAGTACAGCCATGAAGTACCTCATTCATTCCTGGTGATGCATTCACTTATTAAATAAATGTATATTAGATGCATATTGTGTACCAAACACCGTGGTGGGCACATCAGTTAGTGACCACAAATGTCAGCTCTAGCATCAGACCACCTGCAATTAAATCCTGGTTCTACCACTTAACTGGAGTTCCTGGGAGGCGCAAACAGTTAAGCACTTGGCTACTAGCCGAAAGGTTGGAGGTTCAAATCCACCCAGAGGCACCTCAGAAGAAAGGCTATTGAAAACTGTATGGAGCACAGTTCTGCTCTGAAAACATGAGGTTGCCATGAATCGGAATTGTCTCAACGGTAGCTGGTAACTACCACTTAATTAGCTCTGAGGCTATGAGAAATCTACTTAATCCATCTTGTCTCACTCTTCATCTCTGAAAATAAAGGAGGATAAGTGGAGTAATGATAACACTACTTATCTATCTCAATTGCTATGAAGATTAAAGAACATAATACACTGTAATTATAAAATGATCAATAATTGTTAGCTGCTAGTAATATTAATAATAAAGTAATAGCTTTGATAGGTCCTGCTCCAGGCAATAAATGCCCTGCAGAAACTCCTTTCTGAATAGTCCATCCCCTGCAGTCTGCTTGAAAAAAAAAAAACAGAAATCAAACCCGTTGCCGATTCTGACTCATAGTGACCCCATAAGACAGAGTAGAACAGCCCCATAGAGTTTCCAAGGAGCGGCTGGTGGATTCGAACTGCCGACCTTTTGGTTAGCAGCCGTAGCTCTTAATCCCACCAAAATAATTGGAGAAGGCGTATTTCATTAGCTCTTGAACCAGATTTAGATAATGAACGTTCTAAAAACAACAAAGTAGTTAACGAACAACATCCCCACCATCTCTACTCCCTCCTCCAAAAGAAACAGATTTAAAATGTAAAGAAACTTCTTGTGTCACACTTTATAGCCTTTCTGCCTCTCTTCGGGGCCAGAGGAACCAGGATCCAGACATTACAAATTGTTTCCTTCTCAGAGCCAACACACTGCTGCCCTCATATAGAAGTTGTGATTTTTAAGCAGCTAAATATCTGAGCTGCAGCACTAGCACTGGGGAGGTGAGATCCTACACTCAAGCCAGGAACACCTCAGGCAGTATTTCCCCGTGGGTAGTGCTCATCGCTCTGCTCTTGCTTTGGTTTCCAGAGGTGGCTTGGTAAAAGAGAGACTTACTGTGGTAATAAGGGGGCCTGAAGGTCTTATCAGCAACCCCCCACCGAGGAGGGAAGATGACAAAATCAGCAACGGCTACTCCAGGGCGGAGGGACTTGGCTGTCAACACCGTGAAAATGGATGGGTCCTGTGAAAGCACAAGGAGAGATGGAACATGCTATGCAAGGGAGGGGACTGGACAATGACATGTATGTCACCCACCCATGAAGATGTTTCCAAGTGATGGCCTAATTTCTGATCAAACCACACAGGCCAGGCTAAGAAGTCTGGACTTGTCACTGTGATGCAGTAATTGCTCATCTGACTTTCCTCTCTTGCTGGGCTTGAAGCAAAATGAATTAAGACTTGCTAAGAGGATTCTGGGCTACTTTTCATCCCGCTAAGCCCATATCTTATGCAGTACAACCCCAGGGGTCTGACAGTCAGTGGCGCCTGCCTCCCAATCTTAGGTCAGGGTGACCAGAGCAGGGAAGCGCAGCAGAGAGCTCCAGGCAGAAAGGAAGTTTGTAGTAAGGTGGGAATAGAAATAAGATAATATTTAAGTTTTGATGTAGATGTAGAATGAGCCTCTCTTTGGGGAATCACAGAGATTCCAGATGGTATCTATCCTTGGGCTGGAAGGTCTGAGAATGGTTTCATTGCTTTCTTACCCTTGTTTGACTCAAAAATCTAAAATACATCAGTAGTTTTGGTGGTGGTAGTGTAGATGGGAATAGGTTGGAGGATGATATTATGATTTTTAAAGAACTTTAGAATACTTCAGTAGAAAAATGGAGATTCAGTTTAACTGAAATCAGCAATCATGTTAGCTTTCAGATGCCAACTTAGGGTCTGGAGATTAAAAAATAATTGAGATCTACTCTCTGTCTCTTTAGCATTAATGGTGGTGGAGGGTGAGGGTAAAGGAGTTTGAAGGAGTGATAAAACAGTTTCAAAAACAACCAATCACAACAAGGTGCTGGAGCAAGCCAGCTTTATACATAGAGATCTAAGGGCATAGAGAAGGAGTGTCTATCCCTACCTGAAAGGATCTGGAGAGGCTTCAGAAGAGGTGGCATTTGGGGTAGGTCCTGAAAAATAAACAGGAGGAAAGAAAGGGAAGGGAAGGACAAGAAAGGAAAGGAAGCAAGAGAGGGAGAGGGAGGGAGGAAGAGAAAGAAGGAGGGAAGGAAGAAAGGGAGAAAGAAAGGGAGGGAAGGAAGGAAGAAAGAAATTGTAAGCCCAGAAAACAGCAAAGACATCAAAGTACACAGATATTTCATTAAGAGAAGAGACAGCTAAAGCCCAGGGTGCATTGGTGGAACAGAGAGGCGTAAGAGGTGGTACTGGAAAGTGAGTCCAGGGCCAGAAGGTGAAGTGCATCAAACACCACACTCCAAAGCTCAGACTTAATCCTCAACCATGGGGAGCCTGCAAAGATTTTCTAATGCAGCGATGGAATGATCAGATCTGTGTTTTGGAAAACTAACTACAGCAGCAGTGCAGAGAAGATTGAACTTGTGTAAATTCAAATCCATAAACCAACCCTCATTGCTGCAAAAGCTAACACTTCATCTGTCATGGAGAATGATACAAAACTATTAAAGGTAGTGAGGCTAAATAAAAAAAGCTTTTCCCCATCTATGAGAGTTACTGTGAATATCCTGTGTAGAGAACTAAGCAGAGTTCAAGGTGAATGTTGAGTGTTTGACTTGGCTCCCTCACTAGCTGTATGATTTACTCCCACATCAAAGCCTTGCTGCAGATGATTCACATTCCTGTCAGCACAATGACAAGTGACTGTATCTAGGGCTTCCAACGGAGACACTGGAAATGTTAAGTCTGTGAATGTCAAGGGTCTACTGTGGATCCCTCCCGCCCAAAGGTTGCCCCACCCCCAGGGCTTCTAAAGGATCCAAACTCACAGCATGGTCGAAGGCCACTGAGTTGATGACCATGAAGTTCTCCAGGTTGTACTTGTAGGGTGTATAGTTCCCGTGCCAGGCCACCACATTGAACGGAGAGACATCCTGATGACAAAAAGCAGGAAAGGATGATCCAGTACCTAATGCTTTTGTAGCTGTGATCCCTCAGTTTGTACTTGGCATCACTCTTTCTTTTTATGATTTGATTTTTTTCTCATAACTTGATTATTTCATCCCTGGGGAGAAGTATAACACTGAACCATTCTATGGTTGCTTCACACCCCCTCTGTCCCGCCCTTGCTTAGCCACTAACCCCTGAGGTGTAGGGAGGGTAATGATCACTCAGGGGCAGTCTCTAAATTTCCACCTCCCTCACTGACAGGTGGTGGTAAGAGGGAGTGGGGGCGATTCACCTTGTCTGGCACCCCCCTTGGACTTGTGCCCAGGGACAAATGCCACCCTGTAAGCTCCCCTCACTATGCCTCTAACTAACCCTGTTTTTCCAGTTCATAAGCTGCAGCTGCCTTCTGTCACATATGCAGCAGCAGCACAGAACATTCTCCAAGTAGTGCCTTTTTAACACAATTGTGAGAATCTGTGGATGCCAGCAGTTCTCAAACAATCTGGGCCACCTTCTGGGGTTTCTGGTGCAGAGGGCATTGGCTGTGACTCTTCCGGTAACTGCAACCCAGAGGAGTTTCTGGTAGACATAGTGTCTGGGCTGGTGAGTGCAGGAGAGGGGAGAAGGTCTGTAAGACTTCCAACCCCAAGGACTTAAGATTTCAGAGCAATCCTAAGGTGAAGCTTCTTAGGCCTGCTCTAGGGGAGGAGAGGGCTGGTGTTCTGCTATAGGAAGGCAGTCTCCAGTGCAGCTATGGGTCTGCTCAGGAGAAGAATTCAACTCAGAATGTTCTAAAGACTTTAATAAAGGAACTACTCACAGAGGTATGGTTAGGGTTAAGTGAACTGACTGGAGATTTTGAGGTTCTGAGCCTAGCAATAGTGGGAACACATTACCATTCCTAGGCCTGAGGGATAAAGGAAGGAAATATTGTCATAGGATTCTAGTAGAGCTAGAGCCATGGAGAAAGAGGCTGCCCAGTGGTGTGCTGGTAAATATTTAATAACTAGCTCTAAAACAAACAAAGAAATAAACAAAAAACCCAAACCCATTGCCGTTGAGTTGATTCTGACTCACAGCGACCCTGTAGGACAGAGTAGAATGGTCCCAAAGGGTTTCCAAGGAGTGACTGGTGGATTTGAACTGCTGACCTTTTGGTTAGCAGCCAAGCTCTTAACCACTGCACCACCAGGGCTCCACCTACCTCTTAGGGGGAAAAAAAAAAAAAATCAAAAGCCCCTGATTTGTAGCTTTGCTAATTTCTGGGTGTAAATACTCTCACCATGGTTGATTTCAAGTTACCAATGGGACATCACTGAACATGGAGTTGGGAAGAGACGTGCATATGAGCTCTTGAGAGCTCCAGCACACCACAGGGGCCACCTAACAGGAGCTGAGTCATGCAGCCACTTCCAGAAATACAGTCCCACAGAGGGAGGAATCAGGGGAAGAAATGCACCATCTTATCTTTCCTCCCACCCTCCAATTTCCTGTGGGTACCTCCCCTTGGTTGAACCCAACTAGAAGCCAGTTGGCTAGGAAGCCTGGTGATATACTCCATATAGGTCAATGTCCCAGGGCACAGAGCAGGGCAGAGAAGGGAAAATGGATCAACGGGGGCTCAGACACAGAATAAGCAGCACAGGGTCCACTTGGAAAGTGGAAACCCATGGAGCTGCTGGTTGCCTCTTGGATGGTGGTTGTTGTTTTGTGCCCTTGAGTCAATTCTGATTTATAGTGACCCCATAGGACAGAGTACAACCGCCCCATAGGGTTTCCTAAGCAGAAATCTTTACAGTAGCAGATCACCATGTCTTCTCTCCTGTGGAGCTGCTGGTGGGTTTGAACCTCCGACCTTCCGGTTAGCAGCCAAGTGCTTAACCATTGCACTACCAGGGCTCCTTTCTAAGATGGTGGTTCTCCGTCAAGTGTTATGTACAAAATAATCTGCGAAAAATGCTTAAAATGAATGTAGATTTCCACATCCCATCCCTAGAGGTTATCATTGCTGCCAAGCTGGAGTAGTATCTAGGGATGTACATTTTAAACCAAACTTTCTGAGGATTTCTGATGCAAGTGGTCCTAAATTCTGACAAACACGGACCCAGAAAATATGGGGTGACAGTTTAAGTGTATGTGTAACTCAGGGGTTAATTTTAAGTGCTAAACTAGTTGACTTCTGCTGATTGGCATCCCTTCTAAATGCTGCCCCAGGAAGATAACATGCCTTGGCAAAGTGTAAGCAATAAGTCAAACAGACAAAACTTGAATGACAAAATAATGGTAAAGTTAAACAGAAGATATTTTGTTTAGATTATTTTTTGTTATTTTATTCTAGTATATTATATATCAATATATATTAACTTGTCTACAATATAGAAAACAGTGGATTAAGTAATACTACAGTATAAATACTATACTTGATAGTATAAATCAAGCAAGGCTAAATTAACTAAGTTCTACTTGTTTTGTATCAACCATTGCTTATATTTGAACTGTGGTGGTTGGTCATTGGAAAATATAAATCTTGGCTGGTCTGATTGTTAAGTTCTTTCCCTTTTCAGAACATTATATGATATGATGTTTTCCACACCATTATAGAGAGTTACATTTGCCAGGATTTTCATTGCTTGGTGAGTAAAAAGACCAGGAGCTTTGAAGTCAGACAGATAATAGGTTTGAGTACTGGCTCTGCTGCTTATTGTGACATTGGGTAAATTATTTATCACCACCTGGCTACGAATAAGGCAAAGAGTACCTTACTTGTAGTACCTTAGTGGTGTGGTGAAGATGAAAGTATAGAATATATGTAAAGTACCAAACACTGTCCTTGGCAAACTGCAGGTGCTCAATAACTGTTCATTCCTTCCCCTGCCTACTGACCCTCTTACTTTACCTGTTTGGCAGCAAACAGCTTGCCCTGGTATTTATTGACGACAGTGTAACCACCTGGCACTTGGCGATCTTCAAACCAGGCAACAGGTATCAAGAAATCACGAGGATTTGCCAAGCCATTGGCTCCTAGAACAGAATGACCCAAAAGCCTTTTAGACACTTTGAAATCACATAGAAAGATGTCCATAGTCACACAGAGAGAAAAGGCATTCTTTCATGTCAAGAGCCACTCCACCAATTGTTTTCATTGCTCAAAGACTCCTTGGAGTCCCAGTTTCAGGGAGGCAAGGAATTTAATGCGGTTAGAGACCTCAGGAAAAAAAATCACAATCATCGTCATCACCAGCATCACCTCCTACAGCTGCATTTCACATGCATTATCTCATCACTATAGGGGAGGAGAGGAAAAGACTAGGAAAGAGGGAAAAAGAAGAGCTGATAGAATACTAGACATTTTTTTTTCTTTCCAAGGAAACCCTGATGACTCTAGAAATCATCACCAGTCTTTGATCTTGGGAAGGAAGGGTTATACACTGCTGCCCAGGTGTGCCTCTGCTCTGCAGACAGAACTTGGAACCCAAGTCTGTAAAGCTGCTCTCCAGCCTGACAAATCTGTCTGCCACTCGGAGAGAAAGGATGCAGGACTTGCTCGCTTACCTTCACTTAGGAGCAAGTGTTCCCTCCAGAGAAAGAAAATAAATCAAAAGACCAAAAATGAAAAGCATAAGTGCAAAAACATAATTTAACTCCAAGAGGAGAGACCTGGGGAGTGTTTTATCATTTCCAGCTCCTGGGGTTAAAAAAAAAAAGCCCCCAGCTGGTTAGTAAATTATATATATTTTCCAGAGGGTACATGTGCCATGGAACCTGGAGGCTACACTGACTGTAAAGCAGCAGGAAGCCAGACCAAAGCGGGAAGAGTGGGTGGTGAGCAGGATGACAGAAGGCCCACCACGGCTCCAGCTGCCTCTCTGCTGCCTCCCACCTTCCTCTGACTATTCGGATCCCTCCAGGGGAGTGACCAGAAGGCACATCCTGGCCTGTCCCTGTTTCGCTCTAAAAAGCTGTTGACAAGGAAGGGAAGAACTGGGAGGTGTGGCCACCACCTTCAGCAAACATGCCAAAGATGAAACCAAGGGCCAATTTTTCCAGCCACTCCTTTCACTCCAAGAGATGTTTTGACAGCAGCCCCTCCTATCCCCTTCACTTCTGTCCTACATCTCCTGCCTCTAGCTTGCCAGGAGAATGGGAAAGGACCTTGGTTCACTTTGAAAGCTCTGATCTGCCTCATGGGGGCTGTGGCTTCTACTCCTTCATAGCACTGAGTGATCCACCTTTGTTGATTGTCGAGCGTGTGGATTTTGTGGAGTGTGCTCAGTAGGATTATGATGCTCATGGACTATGCCACTCAGCTTGTCCTCCATCTCCATAGGAATATAGCCCCTGACATCTTTCAAGCTTTCCCCATTTTATTGTCTACACACCACCCATTAACTTAGGAAAATGATCTCCCTCCTGCTCACAAAGTGCATTCGCACTTGCATGCTTTGGCTTAAGCTGTTCCCTTTCCTCTTTACTTCTCCTGTGTTTCATCAAGAATTAGACACATGTCATTTTGTCTGTGATGCTGTTCCTGCTGACTCTGACACACCATAACCCAAACTCCTCCATCCCTTGCAGTATACACTGCAAAACCAGAAATCCACTGCATACTGTCTTGCCCTCCAATCATCTATATACTTACTCTAGACAGAAAATTGTAATGGGTTGATGTGGGTTGTTTCCCATTATGCATGTATTTTATGAGAAGAGGCTTGTGTTACTCTTGAGGACGTGACTGTCATTACCTTCAGCACAACATGGGGGCCAAGACTAGCTGATGGATTGATACACAGATGGGTTAATTAATGAAGATTTTATTTCATCAGTTGATCAGCTACAATGCATGCTGCCCCTAAAATTAGAGATCTGAAAAGAAAGTCTGAGATTGCTCAGGGAGTTCCAGTAGGTTTCTGAAATTCCAAACTACATTTGGTCTAGAGAAGAAGTTTCTTAGAGAGGAAAGCAGAAATTTGGTTAGATAGTGAGTGGAGAAGGATATTTAATTTTCATGCTATTATCTGTGTCCTATATCTCAAGCAAGGCTTAGAGGCTTGTAGTAAAGATTTACCAATGGGTCCCAAGTCAGGCAACTCAAAGTGGACGCCGTAGACCTCCAGGATGTAACCCCTGGTCTCCTCGAAGACATCTATGCTGAAGCGCATTCCTCTCTGGAAAGGGAAGCAAACGCTGGTGTGCCCTCCCAAAACCATACCTGTAGTTATAAAGAAGCTGCCCCAAAGCCACGTCCAGCCCCACATGCAAAAGTAAAGCTCTGCTTGCCTCCACAAGCGACCAGCTCAAAGATGAGCTAGAAAGAAAAACTCAACTCTTAATTACATCTATGACCCAAGCCAATTCTAGTCTAACCTCTCATTCGGTCCATGGAAGAAATTCACCTTCACTGCCTTACTCGTCCCCTCTGCATGGAAACAGAGCCTACTCTAGAGTGTATAAATCTTTGAGGAAGTGAATTGACAGTACTTTGTGCTTTGGAAGTGTTTGCTATTTTAAAACAAACCCAGCACCCAAGCCTGCTTACCCTTCTCCACGCGGAGCCTTCTGTATAACTCAAACTCCCTCCCCATTGCCCAGGCATGACAGAAAAATTTTAGAGTTGGAAATAGTAGCAGCTGCAACATCTGATTGCTTCAGTTTCACTTAAGCCAAATTAGGAAGAGGCAGGGAGGAGAAGGGGACACATCACCAACCTGAATGACGCAGATCTCATTGGGCTGCACAAGCATCTTGCCAAACTCGGTGTAAATGAGAAGCTTCCCTTTCTGGGGAGCTGACACAACAGACAGGGCAGTGGTGAGGAAAGCTTTCTGTGTGAGGACCATTTTATGAAGAGTAAAACGCTTAAGGGCCGTATTTGCTTTTACATTCCAAATGAAAAGAGCTTGATTGAGTCTCATGGGAAAATTTATATTGTATATTCTGACAATTTAGGTTAACTATCTAGAATAACATGAGTAAAAAAAATTGGCTCCACTCTTTTGGTTGCCAAGTAAGGAGCTTGTATAGACACAGTTCTGTGGATTGACCAAAAAGGGAAACAGAAATAGGATGGAAAATCACCCATTTCTGATGGTTCCCGTGGGAGGCTGGCATTCACATGTCTGAAGTCTGCACCAAAATGTTGATTCCAAAATATCAATATTAAAACCATGAAATAGAATGGGCAGACAAGAGCCATCTCTAATAGATACTGCACTATAGATGGTTTTAAAAAATTGTATTTAAATTGCAGGTATCAATGACAGAGTGGTTTTTTCTTGGGTGATTTTGAAGACAAATGGAATTATCTTATGAAGTTAATTGCATCTTAGTATTACTGTTCATTTCTTTTCAGCTGCCCATATCTCCCATATCAGAAAGGCCCAGCAGAGATGGGGAAAGACAGAGAGACCAGGAAATAGAGTTGTGGTTTTGGGGTACACTAGAAATCTTTTCTGGACCACCTATGGTCTCTAGACCTCAGTCTATAGATTGTACTAAATGAAATGAGACAGATTGGAGGCTGAAGGAAGAATATGTATGAAATTAAAAAGCAGCTTGTGACTAGGGATCAATTAACCGTGAAGGGGTCTGAAATCTCCAGAACTCACCAATTAAGAAGTCCCCATCTGAATTGTAAAAGCACCTGAAAGATAAAAGTAGAGAGCAATTCCTGAGATTTTCCATTTTAACACTACCTAGACAAATTAATTCATTGCACAAATTACTGTTTAGTGCTTACAGTGCTGGGTATAAAACGGAGAACAAAATAGACTCTGCCCTCATGGAGCTTAGAGTAAGTGGGGAGTCAGACAGCAATCAAATAATTACAAAACTATTCTGGCAAACTGTTACAGCACTATGAAAGACAAGTTCAGAGGACTGAAAGAATAGGGGACTTGATGTAATCCAGAGAGGCAGCAAAAGCTTCCCTGAAGAAGTGACATATGACCTGAGACATGAAGAAATTAACTACAGTTGAGGGAGGGGGATCATTCGAGACAGGAGGAACAGCATGTGCCAATGCTCCAAGGCAGGAGGCCACATGGCAGGTTGAAAGAACTGATGAAGGCCAGTGTGTCTCAAGTGGAGAAAGGGACCAGTGGCTGAAGATAGGTTGGGCCCAAAGAGAGGTCTCCAGTGCCTTGTCATAGGGCTGTGATCTTAGCCCTGATTCATTCCACATTTTTAGTAAAGTTTGGAAGAAGGCCCAGGGGGCCTATTTATCAAATCTCTAATTTCCAGAGTTTGAGAGGCTTCTCAGAGTCTCCTCTGGTTTCTTGAATCTTAGTTTTTAAAATCTCTGCCTTAAATCAGTGAGGGAAGAACTGAGTAGCTTCCTTAAAAGCAATTCGCGATCACCAATAGAGGCTGAAGAGTGAGAGAAGGGAGAGTCCCGCCAACATTCTCATTAAAACAGACAAACAAATACAAAATAAAAAATTGAGAAAAAGAATGTGAATGTGGAATAGGGACAGTGTTTGAAAGAACTCGTATGGTTTGGATAGGAAGAATAATAACAACAACAAAGCACTGCAGAGACTTTGGAGAACTTGGACCCTCTGAGTGAAGGTGATAATAAGTAACATTTGTTGAGCACTTGCTCTGGGCCAGGCTCTGAGCTGTGTACACTTCACAGTGCGTGTGGCTCAGGGACATTAAACACCTTCCCCAAGGTCTTTCAGCCAGAGAGAGTGGAGTTGGGCTTTGGATATGAACAGTCTGGCTCCAGAGGTATTATGCAAAGCTAATATGATATTCTGCTATCCAAAGAAAAGGCATAAGTGCCATTTATATGGATTTTTTATTTAAAAAAATAAAAGCCAGCATACAAGCTCCTCTCTGTAGGAATTTTGAATTTACACAAAGCTATTAGCGGAAGCCAATCTGTCAGCTTGACCTGCCACCAACGGGTGGCCCTAGTGGCTGCTCCTGCAGTGTGACTCTGGACTCAAGAACAGCCCTGGAGAACCTTAGAATTAAGGATATTCTGATCCAAATCTAGTTAAAGTCAAAATGCCTCTTGGACTACGCCTGCATTCCAGGGCCCTATCCTCTCATTACTGTTTGCATTGTTATGTGACATTCTTGTTTACCTCACGAGAATTGGTTAAGATAGAAATGCTCCTTTATCATCATTATAAATATATATCAACATTACTCTGAGGTGGGGGGACATCAATAAAAACAATGTGTATGTATGTGTGACTTTACAAGAGCAAGACCTGGCCTTTACCCTCTGGTCAACAGCCCTTGGGGAATGGGACTGCCCCGCCCCAGCACTGGAACCCTTACCTGTCGACCATCGAGGTGTTGCAGAGATAAATGTGGATGGCAAGCCCGTTGTTAGACCTCATGTCTCCAGCTCCACACAAGGTGTGCAGACCCTGGGAGAGACCACGTATGAGAGGGAGGCGTGAATGTGAGTACTGCTACAGAGGCCAGCCCTCGCTCTGGGCCCTGAGAGACAGGGTTCCACTAGGGTCTTCCCTTTGGGACCAATGGGACATTTGGGATCCAGGCTGCCTCTGGGGAACCTGGAATTTACTGACTTAAATTTGGCAGGTGGTGGCTCAGGTTAGTTGCCAGCCATGGCCCTAAATCTCAATTGTCTCAATGGCTACACCAGATGACCCTGTAGTGCATTAACTCATACTTGGCATTTTTTCAGCTTGATGCCTAAGATCAACCCAAAGGAGAGGTTCTGATGGAGGTGAGGTCAGGCAGCGTGGTGGCATAATAGTTAAGAGCTCGACTGCTAACCAAAAAAAGGTTGGCAGTTCACATCTACCAGTCACTCCTTGGAAACCTTGTGGGGCAGTTCTACCCTGTGCTATACGGTTGCTATGAGTCAGAATGGACTCGGCAGCAATGGGTTTGGTTTGGTTTTAGGAGGTTTGGAGAGGAATTTTGTAACATCAGGGGTCAGTTAATGCCCCTCAAATACACCCCACATGTAGATACCTCTGCTTATGAATAAGGTTAGTTCTAACCTCTCCAGGGCAGAGAAAAGCATTCTGACTATAATTATCCCTGCTGTATGATCAGATTATCCACATCTAAGAACTTTAACAGACGGACCTTCTCAAAACAGCCATCAGCCCCAAACCTGTAGATGGAGAGCCCAAAGGGAGGGGCTTCTGTTCCTCCAGATACTCATAATTCACGCAGGGTGGGGAACTTTTTATTTAAGTGAGTCTACACAGCACTAAATGCTGGTAAGAACTTAAAGATGATCCAAACAATTGGGCCCATGGCTGGGCACCTGGACCGTCTCTAAGTAAGCCATGAGCTAGGGTTGGTCTGCAGAATCTTCCAATGGCCTCTTTGAGTCCCACATCCTTGAAGCTCCCTCCTGCCCTCCCCCACATACTCCTTGCTCTGGGAACAGGTATTCTAACACTCCCAACACCTATAACTACCAAGAAGAGCTTCTAATTAGTTGTGCTAACTAGAGTGGCCACCCTGAGTTGATGTTATTATATTCTAGCCCAGAGGTCCATTCCAGAGGTTCCATGAACTTGGATGGGAAAAAAATTGTATATATAGTTTTCACTAATCTTTGATAGAAATTTTTCACTTCCTTCAATGACAGTAGTCAATTAGCAGTGCCTATAACCTTGTATGGAGCCCTGGTGGTGCAGTGGTTAAGAACTTGGCTGCTAACCAAAAGATCAGGAGTTCGAATCTACCAGCTGCTCCCTGGAAACTTTATGGTGCAGTTCCACTCTGTCTATAGGGTTACTATGAGTCGGAATCGACTCGACAGCAATGGGTTTTTGTAACTTTGTAACTGATAGCAATCATAGATATTTTTGCATCACAGGTACTGTTGCAGATGTCTCCAAATATCATTCATGCTCATAGCTATTAGATCTGTTTATAAACCAAAGGGGACGCGGGAAAACATGTTGCCATCGAGTTGATTGCAACACATAATGACCCTGTGGGAGAGAGAAGAACTGCCCCATAGGATTTCCTGGGCTGTCCTCTTTACAGAAGTTGACTGCCACGTCTTTCTCCCACAAAGCAGTTAGTAGGTTCGAACTGCCAACCTTTTGATTAGTCGCTGAGTGCTTAACCACTGCACCATCAGGGCTCCTATACTATAAACCAAACCAAACATTTTTTTTTAATATTTTGGTAATCATATTTCAATACAGTTCGCTTCTTTGTAATTTTACATAACTTATGCCTTTAAAAACACTGGCTTCACCAGAATATCAAAGGGTCCACGGAGTGAGAAAGGTTAAGAGCCCCTGTCCTAGCCAAAAGCAAAGGAACTTGAGGTAGGTGAATGTCTCATGTCCACTGGCCTCGCTGAGATGTTGTAAACAGCGCCTGAGTGCCCTTTGGTATCAGGGGCCATATGGTGCCTGTAAGTAAGACATCGCTCGGCTAGCCACCAAAGCGTAGGCAGGTGGTTTTGTCTCCGTGCCTCCCTCTGAGGCTGGTTCTGCTTGGCACTCAACCTGCAGATGGTTGGATCCCTCACCGCAGAAGAGAGGAGGGCAGCAGGAGGGTGTGAATAGCACCGACTTACGTCCATAAAGTCCACTTTCTTCTGAGATGCTTTTGGAATCTCGAATGGTTTCCATCTAAGCTGGAAAAAAAGCATCACACATACAGAGAAGTTATTTCACGGGGGAGACTATAGACCTTCTCAATAAAGAGCATCAATTACAGGGAGGAAGAAGGACAGTTGCTACCTCCATGAGGCTCTGTTTGTGATTTTGTTATTTTGAAAGTGATAATTATCCATCATTTCCATAAAGGGCTTTGTCAGCTTCTGTGTGTGTATGAGTTTAAACCTGTATGTATATAAACCATTTTTGTTCCTTAGCACTTTAAATTATAAATTTAAAAAAAAAAAAAATCATCCTTCTATTCATTGCTTCCTTGGTTAGACGCTGTTTGTTTCTTTTAACATTTTGCCCAGAAGATCGGTGAGTTTTGACTGAGACTGCTTTTCACGCTATTTATAATCCGCTCTCTTTCCTGCCATGCCAGCCTCTCTGTGTGGGCTCCTGACACTGGAGGGGAAGCTTCTGCTTCTACTTCCAGCCCTTGGAGTTTTGAATTATTTCCTTAAGAGAAAGAAAAAGCCCCCAGCAGAGACTGGATTTGGGAAATGCTGTACTGGGTGCAGTAGCTTAACCAAACTCCGAGTTTGTCGCCAGGCTGCCTGTCGGTTCAGTTTAAATCACAACAATCTTTAATTTCAATATGAAATGATCTAAGGAAGTGGGCAGGAAAATCAGCAGGCTCAGCTCCTACTAGAAGTATCAGCCCAGAACTTATTAATCAACTAGGCAGCAGGCCTGACCGAGCCGGCTGGCAGCTGATAAGCCTAGCAGCCTCGGGACGCATCTCCCAGAGTGACCTGTACCCCACGTGTGGCTGTGGCTCCATTGGCTGCAGCACCTGGTCAAGGCAGGCTGGGCAGGGCCTCCACCAGGTGATGGGGCTCAGCTCATTCTGGATTTCAGGGAGGAAGCCAGCAGGGAAAGGAAGCAGCAGGTGGAACAGGTGCCTCTAGGATTATTTTGCCTCTCTGACACAGATAGGTGACAGCCTTTATTACTTAAAAGCAAAGCAGGATATCACATTCTAGGACTACTTAGAAAGGATGTAAAACGTTGATTTGAAAAACATTGTTAAAATCATGCATCAGAAGGAAAGAAAAGCTTTAGGATTAATTCCATTAAGGAAGAGGTTTCCTGGGGAAGGTGGGGGAAACTGAGAGCAAGGACTTTGTTGGTAGTTGCCGTCGATTCTGACTCATGGCGACCCCACGTGTGCAGAGCTGAACTGTTCCATAGGGTTTTCAAGGCTGTGACCTTACAGAAGCAAATGGCCAGGCTTATCTTCCGAGGCACCTCTGGGTGGGTTTGAACCGCCCACATTTTGGCTAGTAGTTGAATGCTTAACTATTTGCACCACCCAGGGACTCTGAGCAAGGATCTTGGAAGGGGTTTCTTGTCCTAAGCACTGTTGACATTTTGTGCCAGATAATTCTTTGCTGTTGGGGCTTTCCTGTACATTGTAGGATGTTTAGCAGCATCCCTAAAGTCTACCCACTAAATGCCAGTAGCACCTCCCAAATTATCACCAAAAATGCTTCCAAACATTGCCAAATGTCACTTGGGGGGCAAATTGCCCCTGGTTGAGGCCACTGACCTAGAAGGATATTTCCCTGACGTCAGGCAAGGCCACAGGTAAGCACTCCTGGCTCTTTGAGGGGAGGCTCTAGTCTACTACTAACCATTACTTGCTGCTTCCCTCTTTAAGAGCAGTGCAGAGTTTGTATATCCCAGGAAGATTGTCTGAAGATGCTATTACTTAGGATCTTAGTTCCAAGAAGAGTCATCATTATAGATTTCCCAATGGAAGGGAAGAGATTATCAGATCAGTGATTGGCTAGGAAACCTTTTAACTCTATCCAGAAATTCTGGAGAGTCTTTGAGACTCAAGACCAAATTAAGTCAGAATCTGTGACGGTGGGGCCCAGGCATCAGTATTTTATAAAAGCTCTCCTGGTGATTCTAATGTGCAACTAGTGTTTGAGAATCAGCACACTCCAGAGAGAGAGAGTCTGTGATTTTTGTATTGCGAAACCTAGAATCATGTTCAGAAAAGTCTATCCAATCAACCAACCAACCAACCAATCAATTAATCAACTAAATTGTGGCATTTCGGGCCAGATGTAGCAGTGGCAATGCCATAACTAATAGCAAGGATATTTAAATAATATAAGTCTAAGTATTTACAAATATAAGGGAAGAGAGAGAGAGAGAGAGACAGAAGAAAAGAAGGAAGGAAAAAGGAGAAAAAGAGAGAGAGAAAGATACCCAAGTAGCAGGGATAGCACTATCTGGTCTGTTGCACTGAGGACAACACCTTTGTACACATTCCTGGAGTTAAAATACCTGTTGTGGACAGAAATAAAGTCCTCGCCCCCAGAGAAGAAGTATATCTTCTGTAGGTGGGAAAGACTGAACTAGGGAGTCTGATAGCTTAACCAGGTTTGCTCGTTGGTCTTCCAAGGTCTGTAGAACATTAGACCTCAAGTCATGAGGACAGAGCCTGGGGTGGTGGGTAAAAGGGCATCCACATAATGATATAGAGTGTACACCTTCAATTGGACCCACATCCTGAATAAGGCAATGGCTTTGAAGAACCTTCTCTAATGCTATATATATATTATACATATACAAAAAAATATATATTTATTCCCTTCAAAAGGCAGAGATGGTTTAGGAAGAGGAGTAATTTATCTGTTGGGGCTGATGGCAGCAGATTACAGGTTTATCATAGAGGACAGGTATATATAGATTCAGAGTATCATGGAGGACAATAAAGACTCCAGAGTGGCTGTCATAAACCAAGTACCCAATGAGAGGAAGCTAGTTTTTGATCCTCAGGCAAGAGATTTTGGTCAGGAGCTCTGGTGTGATTATCTTAGTGAATGTGAGGAGGGAGATTTGGGAAGAGGATAAACAGGAAAAGTCCATGGAGTGAAGGGTAGGAAAATTTCCTGCTAAGGCTAGATGCTCAGCTTAATTGCAAGCTGTGGAGCAGTAACTCTCAGATCCAAGGCCAGACCAAAGGGGCAGTGCACTGGGCTGAGCCAGGAGACCTGGGTTCTGGTCCTGCCTCTGTTCCCATTTCCTCTGTGACCTCAGGCAAGTCATGTTCTCTCTCTGGATTGTGTTTTCTTCCTCACATGTGACAATGGGGTGCTGGTGAGAATTATAATTCCATAGTTCTCTTCAGAGAAGAATTTCTGAGAGTAGTAAAGGATGTTTGTTAAGTCACTTAGTCCTATAATTTTCACAGTTTTTAAATTCGTACTCTATGTTATTACTAAATAACTCCTCCATATAAAATCGAATTATTAAACATTTCAAAAAGAATGAAATCAATTGTAGTTTCAATGCAATTTCTTCACTATAGTAGATATTAATTAATATTTGTGTAATGATTGAATGAATGAATATATATAAGGCACTGAGAACATTGCTAATATTTCAAAGAATAAGACTAAAGGAAATTTGTGAGATTTTTGGAAGTCAAAATGACCTTTTCAGACAATAGTAAGTTGACAGGTGTTTCTAAAGTCCAAAGATTATTTATAAAAATGTAAGCATATTCTTCATGTGTGAAACCTTCCATTCTTCTATATTGTTGCTGATTTTCTAAGTTGTTCTATCAATTGTCGAGAGAAGGGTGTTGAAGTCTCCAACTATAATTGTAGATTTGTCTTTTTCTCCTTTCTTTCTATCAGTTTTTGCTTCACATATTTTAAAGCTGTATTCTGAAAACTATACTGGAAAATAAGCCTTTACTTACTAGAAATGGGGTGGTCAAAAATAATTTGAAAAGCATCTTCAAATGAGTCCAAAATTAGAATTAAAAATTCTTTAAAATTACCAAAGGAGGAAGACAGAGAATCAGGGGCAAAATTTAGTGATCAAGATGCAAAAACGCATGCTCAGAGATGAAAAGGAAACATCATAGAATTGGCTTCGCTATTTCCAAAGTCAGAAGACAGTGAGATGGGCTGGATGGTCCAAGTATCCCTTTAATACTGAGATTTTTTGATTTACTGAGATTGCCGCCAAAATTGCCTCGGATTCAGCTAGATTTGGATGAATTGGATGGTCTCAACAACATTGACTGGCTAGAGGGAGGCATATCATTAGAAGTCAATATCATCTATACAAGAATTTTGAAGTAATTTGTAGGTGAAATAGTGATCGCAATGGATGAACAATTGTTAGTAGAAGCTATGGCTAGGAGAGGCCCAGGGTAATCCAAAGTGGTGAGTTTCAATCCAGACTAGGGAAAGTAGGGGTGGATAAACTAATACAGAGGCTCACTGACTTCTTCAGCAAATCTAACAATTTGAAGAAAAAGGCAACATGGTTTATGTGAAGAAAAATCAGGCTTTGAGTGACCATCTGTAGTTCTTTGAAGTAATAGGCAAGAGTATAGATAAGGAGAATCCAAGTCACTGTAATTTATTTAGACTTTCAGAAGTCTTCCATGAGGCTACAAAATTACAGTCATGGGACTAGGGTGACATTTTATCATGGATGGAAACCTGGATTCCCATTTGACCTTGCCTTGAACTCAGCTGGCTGACACTTACTGGGTGCCATGCTATTTGCTAACGGCTTTACATATATTGGAAACTCTGGTGGCAGAGTGGTTAATAGCTACAGCTGCTAACCAAACGGTCAGCAGTTCGAATCCTCCAGGTGCTCCTTGGAAACCCTATGGGGCAGTTCTACTCTGTCCTATAGGGTCGCTATGAGTTGGAATCGACTCGACAGCAACAGGTTACATACATTACTAAACACCTAGCACAGGGCCTGGCACACATAGTCACTCAGTAAACATTTGTTGGATGATAATTAATTCTCACAACTCTCTGAGGCTCCTATGATTATTATCATCTTAATTTAGAAGTAAGAACTGATGGATTAGAGAAGTTAAATTTTCTCTGCTAAGAACTGAGGCCAACTTTCTACCAGACCATGCCTACTAACCTACACTCGGTGCCCTTTGGCCTCATTCTGTCTTTATCTCTTCCCAAAC